AAGGAAGCATATTTTAACCCATAAAGTATATATATTCTTGATCGGCTTCTATAGCCAAGTTGATCCAAGTTAGTCTGTGTGACAGTCCAGTCGTCCGTCTCTCCGTATGTATGAATGTGTCGAAACGTGTTGGAGACTTGAAATTTTTGAGAGCGAAAAGCCACTCGGCTGGCGTAGCGTTTTAACAGCGAAAAGCCATCTGAAAGCCCAGACTAGACTTTTTTGCGTCGAATTAAAATATTCGTTACGTCACTCATCTCATAGTTTATATAATCATTGGTAAAACTCTAACTGTACTTTAATTCAAAAGAATATTTTTATGTTTTGTTGAGTCTGTAAAACATTCATTATTCTTTATTTGCCCTTTCATTTCTTATCGATTGATGTAAAGGTCTTTATACAGTTAGAAATTCAAGCCACAGGCCTTTGCCTATGTGACACCTGAAATATCTACAATCGGAACTTTTAATTCTGAATTTATTACCACATCCATTTATTGGCACTCAAACTCTAGTTGCTGCGTCAAAAAATAAATTCTGTTCTTGGGCTTACCTGTCAAAACGTAACGTAAAGTCTAAGCTTGCTAGCCTGTACTTAAATTCTCTTGCCTTTCAATTTTCCTAAGTATTATTACTTTCAATGAAACCAGATTCCTGATATCAGATTCCTCAATATTTACTTCTGATCGAGCTTCCTGTATCGAAGAAGGAGTACTATTCATCTATTCATCTTTGTAAAACAATATCAAATATTTACGATTCGAAATCTTCAAAGCATTGAAGCTGACGAGAAGGGTTTGGAGGAACAAAATTGTCCAAAGCCAGTTTAAACTGAATAGAATTTCTCTATAATCGAAGATCTTCAATATGATTTGAGGGCTAAATTGTTATTTATATGTTAAGGAAAAAAGGTTGAAGGCACCGGTACAATACATTTATGATCACGAAGATGACATTGAGTTGCACTGCGTAGCAAGTGCATTAGGATTTGTAGCAGCATCATGAAAATAAACCAGATGGCAAAGTACATTCGATATTTTATTTTTCGAAGCTGGCAATTAAGTCTGAAGCGAAATACCAGAGCTTTGAGCTGGACACTAGCCATTATATTCGCGTAACGCAGAATCCGAAATATATATATTGGCTTTTCATTTCCTTGTTGGGTTTAAGCCGCCGACCATACGCATGTTAGCCCGACGCTCAAACGACGTTTGCAAATCACAACTAGTCTTTTCAAAAAACGTTGATTTTCCCGATGGGTGGAATTTTCCAAAACCATGTCATAGCACTCACTTTCGACCCAAAAGGACCAGATTCGTAGCTCGTACGATTTAGCCTATGCGTAGGTCAGGTCAGCACATGCTTACTTAAATTGGGAATTGCATAGAAGGGTTGTAAACTTGGTATGCGCTCGACGAAAGCTAAAATATAGGCAGTCAACTAATCAGGCAGAACTCTGTTAAACTTTGTTAATACACTGTGAACAGAGTATGTTGGAGCTGGTTCCATTCGACTGAATGCTAACAAGTTATTCATTTTTAGTCCATCCCGACTAAGCTTACCCATTACAACATGTATTTAAGCACCATTTTGTAAAAAAGAAAAAAAAAATAATTACTAATTATAATTACAATTGATCAACTTTGCAAAAGTTTGAATATATATATGGGAGAGTGTCGAATAAATAAATATTGTTATACAAATATCGTTGCAGAAAACAACCCCGTTTAATATTTCCTAACCTCGGGCAAACATCCCCGATTTATTTTTACTGACTAGCTAAGTACATCTGCCACATTGTTAACAATCTGCTGTTTTTCTTAATACTAACATAATTTTGTCATTATTTACGTCACTGGTTTGTAATTCGTTCAACCCTCTGGTTGCTCCCGCCTCCTCCTCCCTTCCTCCCCTCCTCCCTTTCGCCCTTTCGACCTGCCTCCCTTTACAAGTTAAGAAGTCTCGTAATCATTTGTTTCGCCTCCCGCAGGAGAAACATTGGCATTAAGCTTAACAATCTGTGTTTTGTTACTTTTTTGTAACCATATTATCTTTAACGAATTGTCTCTGGGGAGAATCTTCTTTTCAATTATGCCATTCACACGCATAATATAATTGAATGTGGACCTTTCATATAAGGGGCGGGTCTGTCCAGGTTGAGTGCATTTTTACCAACTTTAACGGATCAAAATTCCATGTCCGTCTACGTTTCAAAGAGCTGAAAATTTACGCGGATCCTATTAGAGTGCTTAAATGGAGTGTATCCGACTCAAATATACCAGCTCCTGATTAACTTTTACACACCTTCCACAAGAAAAGAACAATTGAACAATTAAAGATACTGAACTTTACGAACATATACTTGGCAGAATTTTGCAAAAGATTCGGGACAGAACGAGTATATTAAACTTTACGATATTTAATTTTTCCGAAATAAATATTTATGGATTTTTAGAGAATAATGTATAACAAGGCAGTCGGGAGCTCTTTATCAAACTGCCTAACGAAAAATCTAGTTAGTTTTACAAAAGATAAAAAAAATTTTATTCGCTTCTTTGTTTTCTCTTTCAGAAATAGCACTAAATGGCATTCCCAGAGTCAATTCCAAGATCTACTCGGCCTTCAACTCCACCTAATGAAATGGAAAACAGCCAAATATCCGTATCCCCAAAGTCGAATCATGTGCGTTAACTTTACCAACAAAAAAATGTATATACATATATATATATATAAAACACAATTATAACAAACAAGCAAAAAAAAACACGTTAAACTAATATTTTGGGGTGTGTTTCCTCATACACAGACACCAAATCGAAAGTAGACAAATGTTTCCCTCTGGTATTGTAGTTTACGTGCTTTGATTTTCTATTCGATTTAAGAAAGAAATAAAAACGATGGCAATCAAAAAACGATGGCAGGACAAACTTTGGTGCCAATTAAGCAATAAATATCTAATATATATTACTGAAGAAATTGTCGTAAATATTTGCATATAATTTACTTTGGTGTTATTCCACTTTTTATTCTATTCAAAACTTTGGATGCACTATTAAATCAGCTGAAAATAGAGAGTTCTATACAAAACTCCGCACCCCTCAGTCAATGTAATATTTATGATTATAGCAACACGCTTTGCACTATTCCAATCATAAAATATTGACTTACATGAATTCCATAGTGTTTAGATAATAAGATATAGATGTATTTATGTACAACCCATAACCGACTAATTCTTCCGTCTGCGCGACCCTATTAGAACTTTTAATTTGAATATATATATACATAAATAATACTTATTATCGATATCGATATCGATTTAATAAGTAATTTATCGATTATCGGAAACAAACTCGATCTGCGCGGGAACCCATTTTTAATGGGTTCAGGGTATAAAAATAAAATATTCGAGCTTTATAATTAAAAATACTTGATCGACACAATACTATACTAGAAGCTCTTAAGACTTAAGAGATGTGCTCAAAAAGTATGATTTCAATATCGATTCCTAACGATTGCTTGGATGCGGGCAAGTTATCGGAAATAAATTACCAGGAGAGCATACGTTCAAAATTTCAAGCTTCTAGCTCTTGTAGATTCTGAGATTGACAGGACAGACAGGCGGACACTTTCTGGAGACGGAGATGCTTATTCGCCTGTTTCATACCTATCCAGAACTCCATTAAACCTTTCACTCAATTTCAATGGGTTCAGTTTATAATAAATAAATAGTAGTAGAATTTATTACTACTACAGTAGTAGTAGTTAATAGTAGTAGTAGTAGTAGTATTAGTAGTAACTAGTAGTAGTAGTAGTTATTAGTAGTAGTAGTTGTAAATAGTAAACAAATAATAGGCTCTTGTAGGTAGTTCCCGAGATAATTGATTTGAATATAATTTTTAGAAGCAAAATGTCCAGTTTGGTCAACTCTAGGTCTCAAGACCTGAGAAATATGCTCAAAACACAGGGTTTCGATATCGAATCTTATCGATTGCTTTTAAACTAGTCAATTTATCAGTTATCGTACTGCCCGGCTACTAGATAGACCTATGTTCAAAATATCAAGTCTATAGCCCTGATAGGTTCTGAGAGAGACTAGTTCATACATAGGGACAGACGGGCGGAGAGGGACCTAGTTGGCTAGATTGGCTAGATTGTTGCTGATCACGAATATAAATACATTAAGGGGTCGGAGATGATAAATTTAAAATTTATTTTAAATAATTTAAAATTTATTTAAAAAAGCGAAACACACTCAAATAGTAGAAATGCAACACAATTCTATCCTTTCGTTACAAAATTAGCAGTTTTTCATTGAATGAAAACTATTTGTGTATTAAAAAAATAAGACAATAAAAAACAAGTAAGAGGTTCTAGTCGGGAGCTCCCGACTAGGGGATACCCTGAACCCTCTTCTTTCAACATCAAATGCATATATATATTCTATTTTAGAAGCTATATGTCAAGTTTGGTATTTACCAAAATTGCCCAAAAAACAGGATATCGATATCGATTTTTATCGATTGCTTGGAAACCGAGTAAGTTATCGATTATCGGAAACAAACTCGATCTGCGCGGGAACTAGGAGCATCTACATCTTATAAGTTCTGAGATCCTTGCGTTCATACATACGGACGGACGGACGGACGGACAGACGGACATAGCTAGATCGACTCGGCTATTGATGCTGATCAAGAATATATATACTTTATGGGGTCGGAGAAGCTTACTTCTGCCTGTTACATACATTTGGATTTTGCACAAATACAATATACCTTTATACCCATTTTTGATGGGTTCAGGGTATTAAAAGAATTGATATTAAATATAAAATAAACGGATAAATATATATGAGAAAAAATGTTGAAAATCAGTTAAACACACAACATGCGGGCAGGTTTTAAATGAAAATAATAATAATGTTAAAAAAAATTCGAAAACACACATGCCTAAATAATAGAAATGTAACAAAATTAATTTTATGTAACACAGTTAATTATAATGAAATTAAAACTATTTGTATATTTTTTGCAGGTGAGCTCGGTACTGCTCTATGGCATACCCATTGTATCCTTGTACATCGAAGGACAGGAACGTCTCTGCTTGGCGCAGATCTCGAACACACTTCTCAAACAGTTCAGCTACAATGAGATTCACAATCGACGCGTTGCACTTGGCATAACCTGCGTGCAATGCACTCCAGTCCAGTTGGAAATACTGAGACGGGCCGGAGCGATGCCGGTGAGTTCACGGCGATGCGGAATGATAACACGCCGAGAAGCCGAAAGGCTGTGCAAAAGCTTTTTGGGAGATAATACGCCGCCGAGATTACCGGACGACTTTGCGTTTAACGTACAGCATAAATGCGCCTGGGGCTGCCGTGGGTCGTTTTTGCCCGCACGCTATAATTCCTCACGTGCCAAATGCATCAAGTGTACCTATTGTGGAATGTTCTTTTCGCCAAACAAATTCATTTTCCACTCGCATCGTATAACGACCAACGACCGATATATCCAACCCGACGCGGCCAATTTCAATTCCTGGCGTCGGCACATGACGCTCAGTTCTCATGCGCAGGACGAGAAAATTATTCATGCTTGGGAGGATGTGAAGGCCATGTTTAACGGCGGCACACGGAAGCGACTTGTTGGCTGCAATAATAATAATAATAATAATAATAGTAACCATAATAATAATAATAATAATAATAATAATCATATTAATAGTAATAATAATAATAATAGAAATAATAATAATAATACACATCGAAGTCAGAGTTCGCCTGGCAGCGCAGCCTATGCAGTTGAGGAAAATGCGTGCGATTCGCGGTCTCCGGTAAGTTGTGAAACCGACGCCAAGCCCCGATCCCTGCATGAGGAGACACTGTGCTCGAAGCGAACCCTGAACCATCAGCAATACAACTATAGCACAGTTGCGGCTGCCGCTGCCGTGGTGGGCGTTACCGCAGTAGCTGCCACCGTGGGCGTGCCCTTCAATTTGCACCGGTCGTCGGTGCTGTCCCCGCTCCAATCGCTGCGCAACGAGCACGACCTGTCGATTGTGCCGCTTTCGAGGAATTTCGTTGTCGATTACACGATGTGGCAGCAACAAAACCAAACGCATTCGAAAAAAATGAGCGGCAGCGAGGCAACGAACGGATCGGCCTGTCCAATGCCATGGATTAGACCCGATTTAAATGTCTTATCGTCAGCTGGGAATGCACTTCCATTGAATGTTATCAAAAACGAGCCACGATCCGCCGCCAGCTATGCTGGGATTAAGAATCGTAAAGTCGCCGATGGCGATCCGTCGGATTTCAATATGTCGTCGATATTGAGTTCTTCTGCATTCAAGCCCGTTGTCGCCTCCGCATCCATTATGTCCACCTCGCTATATGCCACGCGCTCCAATGATTCGATTAGCAACGTTTACATAAGTCCATCGCAATCGACGAGAACAACCACAGTATTCACCCATAACAGCATTACGGCAGCCGCAACCCAACGATTACCCTCGGAGGCGATACTTAACACGGCTACGTGTGCTTTTCCGCCCATCCTGAACTCGATCCAACTCAGCGCAGAAAGTGAGCAGCCGGACTTTGCACTTGCAATTGATAATAACAATGAACTCTCATCAGCTTTGACTGCGGAACACTTGAACAAGTCAACGTTGTCGGATCCAATATACATCAACACGAGTATTTGTCGGAATCCTGAAGCCGATGATGACAATGATGGTGATGATGATGACGAAGTGGTCGATATTGAAACGACGGAAGACGATCTGCAAACAATAAATGATTCTCGCAACCTATTTGCGCACTCACCCAATGATATCTCATCGCTCAGTGCAAGCCATTCACATTCCGGCAGCCCCAACGACGATGTCGATGTGGATGGCATTACAACAGATGTCGAAGACCAATTTGATTTCAAATCAAACAATTGCTCATACAACATTAACATTAGCCGCTCAAATTTGTATGTTCATCACACTACTGAAAAGGACAAAGTTTCATCCCTGGGCATGAATACAGAAGAAGAAGAGATACGTACAAATCATTTAAAAAATAATGAGGTAGGAAGTGTTGCAAAGAAATTATATTATTATATTATTAATATTCATTTATTATTATTTATATGCCATTTATTATAATATGCCACCGGCTGACTTTGCGATTTCGAATTCATTCCGATTCAAATTTCACTTTTCACTTTCCACCCATTTTACGCCAAAACGAATTGGAGCCGGTCAAAAACACGGTTAAAATTACCTTTTACAAGCTAATTTAAAATGAAATGAACGGCTTTCAAGCTTCAAATCAAGAGTTTTCTGTCCACTTACTTAGCATGAGGTGGGTTTTCTTAAAATCCAATAGAACGAAAATGAAATTTGTATCATGCGGGGGTATTTAGAATACATAATATGTGTAACTCAAGGAAGGACCACATAAAGTATATTCAAGAACCTAGTTGTCCGTCTGCATGTTGGAAACTATGGAAGCTCGTGCCTCAGTTGTGAAGCTTCTTGAAAGTTCCGTTCGGATCCCGATCGGATGACTATATCATATAACTGTCGTAGTTCCTGTTTTGTTTATCAAGATATATTGGCCAAAATTGACATTTCACAATGTTAATATGAGTCAAAATTTAATGTTTAAATATAAAATAATTATTTAATATATAAAATATTATATTATTATTTATTATGGTAAGCATCAGTCGAAATATGAGTTTTTGTAGACAAACTTTTCTGCTTTTCATGTTCAGCATTTACTAGCTTTTATTTGGTAAAATTTTATTATATTCTTTGTTAAAATTGTAGGCTGTTATTATATATGCAAATTACTCTTCATAATATTAATTTGATGATTAATTTTTTAGGACGCAAATGGATTAAAAAGATTTTCCCGGCGAAAGTGCTCAAATCAACAAACCCAACGTCAATATCTAAAAAAGAATGGACCCACTCTTGACACCGATAAATTATTTTCGACCCAACCTAGTCTACATATTCCCCAGCGGGTCACTTTTCCGGTATTCCTAAGGTCCCATCTAAATTCTTTTCGACAGCGCCACCACCGTCAGCCGAGCCCCAATACACCAAGACAATTATATTGCTGTGATACAACAGCGAGAACTAATGAGAATGGTTTTGAATAAAATAATTTCGTTAAAGTAAATCAAAAAATTACAAATCGAACATGTAATCCGATTGTAACGTTTAAGGTCCAATAATAAATTGATTAAACCGAAATAAAACTTATATTTTGACTATTTTACATAAGATAATAACACTAGGCAACAGAATTTTCTTCCCAGTGCAATCCACTTACTTTTCTAAAATATATACACAGGCTAAAGTATATATATATATATAACCCGGCCTTGCTCGTGGCAATCAATAATAATCGACTTTCCCAGGAAACAAACAACTTTCATACAATCGTTTTCCGCTTATTAACCACCGTTGTGGGTGTAAGTTACCAAATAGCTCAAACAGGTATTCTTTGAGCTCCTATGTAGAGCTTTGAAAATAAGTTTGAAACAAATAGACAAAACTTAACTTTTCACAAAAAAAAATTGTTGAATTGCACTTTCCACCTGTGAAAGCTTCGATTTTGTCAAAAATGTGAGACACGTAGATTTATTAAAATTAATTTGAAGGCGAAACGCCACCCACCAAATCGTTGACACCCATTTCCACCAAGGAGGGATGGATTTTGTAAAAAATGTGAAATTTCCATCAGATGAATTTGCCCAAAGATCTTTGAAATTGGGTTTGAGGCCGATCGGATGGTAAACAAAAAAGTTTCATACAAACGTTTTTCGCGATTTTTCCATACTTGCGGCTGGAATTTCCCGAAACACCGTCTTAACGTGCACCTTCATCACAAAAGGTAACTACAGCGAAAATTTGGGCTGTGCGTTCATCACCAATCAGTCAGTCAATAAGTCAGTCAGTCAAGACAAACAGTTTATATATAGGGATAATGAGTTTAAAGCAATTTCGTCTGCAATAAAGCAAAGAAAGTTGAGATTCTGCGAAAGTTGACACACGTCTCAAGATTCTTGGAAATGAATTTAAATCCGAAACGTCAGCCGCCAAATCTTTTACTCCCATTTATACCAAGCAGAAAAGGATTTTCCGCTAAGTGTGAAATCGCCTCAACCTTATTTAAAACGAGAAAGAAGGGAAAGAAGAAAAGAAGGGCACGTCAAAAATTGAATACCCTTGCATAATGTTTTTCATACAACTTAATTTTCGACCGATCGTCGATATGACAGATAAATGATATAGTAGTCCGATATAAACAAAATATTGCATAAGTGTAGGGAACATATTGAAACTAATAAATGCCGAATTTGGTCAGCTATATGATATAGTGGTCCGATCCAGCCGGTTCCCACATGTGAACTGCGTGCAACAGAAAAAGGGACTTATGCTTAGTTTCACGACGATATATTTAAAACTGAGAGACAAGCTCGTAAAAAACAGACAGGCGGACAGACGGACAGGCGGACAGACGGACATGGCTATATAGATTCGGCTGTTGAATGTATATACTTCATGGGGTCGAAGATGTATCCTTCTATGCGTTACACAATTCTCAACAAAATTATAATAAACTCTGAAAAGCTCTTTAAAATGGAGTGTAGTATACATACATAATACATATGAGTTGGAGATGACTCCTCCTATGCGATATACACTTCATAACAAAAATAATATCCTCTACAAGGGCATAATAAAAAATTGGAAATGCGGTCATTCTTTTTATTTAATTATTACTTTGTTGAAGGCAAAATTGATATGGTTGTGCGGAAGGCCTGGGACGTACGTCCCTCGCGAGAATTCGTGCATACACCTGTGTAGGTTCGAAGTGAATGCTTTATCGGATTATGCGAAATGCACGCGTTCAAAATTACGGCAGGTGCTGCTAGTAATATAAGCAACCACAATATAAATATATAAAACTTTTAACACATTTGATTGAAAGTAAGAATGTTGCAGTAGGGTACTTTAATTAAACTTACGCGCCGTCCTAAATTTTTTAACCGAAGTCATTTAAAATGGAAATTTAAGACCTCACAATTGTTGCCAGAAAGGGTTTCTGGTTTTGTATCTCAAAAGGGCTTCAATTCAATATCCTATACAAGCTACAAGGGCAGCATATAAGCAAATTAGAAAGATATTGCGGCGCAGTCCGAAAGCTCTCTGACCGAATTGAATGGACACAACGATAACTAAATCGTAACGCAACCATGTTCGCGCATATGTTGTATATATAAATATAGTAAACAGTGTGGCCATATATTTTATAGGCGAAATTCCAGCATTTGACAATCGATAGCTAAAACTTCCCATGACGTATATATTTAATTGAATGTCCAGATGTATGGCACCAAGTTAATATTTAGCAAAAAGGTCTTTATATAAACGGCTTGCAAAAAAAATTATTTAAAAAAACATTGTTTGATATAAGTCGATACAACATTTTTTACATCCCTAGTAAATACCAGTTTGATTGAACAAGTTCAATATTGAGCAAATCGCTAAAAGAGTGAATATTTCATGGAAAACTGCACGCACACTAACGTAAAGTGAAATATTAAGAATACTTTTAATTGCAACAAAATAATAGAAAATGTGACAACGCAACAAGTAAAACAAATCAAAATCAGATGTACCTTACTAAGTATCACATTTCAACTTACCTACATATGTATGTGCATATGTGTGAGGTGTGTTGAGATACAACAGCGAACGCTTGTGAATTCTTATTTTTTAAACAATTTAAATGTCTGTAATTGATTCAGCACAGATTTAGCATTTAGTTATACAGACTTTTGTGAACATAACGTGATACACACGAATAAGATATATATATGTTAACTTTGCTGAGTTTAAAAAATAAAAAACTTAATGTGTGTATGTGTGCATGCCAGTTCACACAAGCAGCATACGTACGTTTTTCAATATTTGTTTGTAAAAGTGCAGTAAATAAAGCGAGGACTAAAGAGTAAGAAGAAGATACAAAATGGACATTATTAAAGATAATTCGAGGTAAGTGATGTCTGTCTTGTGATATAAAAAAGATAGTCCTTTCGTAAAATCATATTTTAATGTATCAAAGGGCATTCTATACATACATACGTAATTATATGCATACATATTCTATGCTTTGTTCTTAAAAAATAAAAGTGCTCAGTTTTTTTCATACTTTCTCCAATATTTGCATACGCGTATCTTGTGTGTGTGTGTGTGTGTTTGTGTGCATGTATGTATGTATGGGTGCCCGACAACCGACTCAACCAAATTGAATAAAAATATCCATAAATGTCCCATTCTCAGATACTCACGGTCTGATTTACTGGCTCTTCGCTATGAAGGAAGTTCGAAACAACGACCACATTGTGCAAACCGAACAGAGCTGCAGACGTTAAATTTTTGGAAAATAAACGTGATTCAATCAAGCAACAACAGCAACAGCTACGTGAATAAAACTGGGCTGTCCCCAGAAAGGGAAAGTTCAAGTCTTGCTATTTCAAATGGACTGTTAAGTTCTCGTCGCGCCTTGCGGAACCGGGAACGAGCCCACAATTATTATCAACGGTTCAGTTCTAGCGATCAGATTGGCGGAGAAGAGGTACAGGTTAGCTTAGCATCAGCCACCGGAAATCTCAGTGCATCGTATAAGTCACCCAACATAGATCATCGAAGCATATCTTCGTCGCATTTAATGCCGGCGTTTGCCAAAAAACGCTTTGTTATTGCTTCAGGAGAAAGAATTGATCAAAATGAATCCCAAAACGAAAAGACGAATGCCTCGGGTAATTATGAAGACGGGATGATGAATGCAAAGGAAAACACTGCGACTCCTGCCCAGGCCAATGCCGATTTGAAAAATCATTTACGTGCCATTAACAGCTCGTTAGGCTCACCCATACGCAGGGGATCACCTATACGCAGAGCTCCTGCACCAGGCGAGTGGGAACGCGGTGAGAAACATTCGAATCCACAAGAGAATGAACAAACGTTGGCGTTATCGCCAACATTTTCATCGGGCCGTCAGGCTGGAGGCCTAAATGTTCAGGAACGACGCATTGGCAGTGGTCGACTATTGCCCCGAACTGATAATTGGGAATATAAAAACAAGGATGCAGACAATTTACTGAATAATCTTGAAAAGGACCGACCTGAAAATGGCGGTCTGGCCAATCAGCAGCGCCAGCGAACGAGTTCTGGGAAACATAGCGACCGCACCAGCGATAATGTAGGAGATCGGGACCGCGACCGGGATCGAGATCGCGATCGCAGACTTAATGAGCGCAAAGGAGTCGATAATCGTGATCAGAATGATGGCAAAAAAATGGTGCAGCCCGGACGTCGCACTTCCAATAAAGACAAATTTAGTTTTGGCGATAGCAACATTCAGAGTCGAGGCAAGCGCATGAACCTATACCAAACACACGACAGACCAGAACCCGAATGGTTTAGTGCTGGGCCAACATCGCAGCATGAAACGATAGATTTGCATGGCTTTGACGATTTTGAGGGCGAGAGCTCTGCGAATTTGAAAATCGTCAAAGAAGATGCGAGCAAAGAACTCGAACTAAAAAGAAACCAAGCAGCAACCCCAACATCCAGAAGCAGTAGCATAGCCAGCCTAAACATTGTCGAATCGAATAGTAACAACAAAAAGGATTCGGATGCGGACATTACAATGGCAAACGTTGCGCCTAGTATTCAAAATCATAGCGTTCAGCCGATTCCTAAATCTGACGTTGAGTTTAATTTTGATGCTTTTCTTAACATGGATCCCATGGATCATGCACTTATGGTAAGTGTATTTATAAAAATATCAGAAATTCGAAAAATCTGTTCGTTAAAATACAGAAATAATGTACTTCAAAGAAATTTCTATTTGTTAAATATCTAAAAAAAAAATTTTTCAGTTTTGTGTGTGCGCATATATCGATTATAAGATTGTAGATGAAAGCGAAGCGGTTTTTTGTCCGCTTACGAGGAAATAAATTTGGATTCGGCCGGTTAAAAGAGTTATTTTAAATGCTCTTTTATTAATTTCTGCGGCTGGTGAAATTTAATTTTTTAGTTAAATAAATTTCTTCAAATAGTTAGAAATTTCATTGCCATCCTCAACTCTTATGGCATGAATATGTTAATTTATTATTTAATAAAGAGAAGAATCAACGCTTTCATTTTAATCACAAC